TATACAAGGGAAATGCACCAAGTCCATTTTTGGCAGTATAGAGTTATTTTCACCACCAGGGTGGCTAGCCACTTTGGTCAATTAAATTCCCTGACTTTTCCTTGACTTTTTATATTTTATCCTGACTCGGTTATATTTTAAAGTAGGAGTTTTATATTTTGTTGTTTGGCAGTAAATAAAATAAGTAAAAAAAAAAAAAAAAAATTAAATTTGGAAAAAGAGATTTTTTCACCTGATATTTGGAAAAAAAATTAAAAATCTCTGACTTTTCCCTGATTTCTAGTTGACTGGCCACCCTAATCAGTATTTAGAATGTTAAATATTCTATCATTTGATATACCACACCAATTTAATAAAGAGTTATTAAAGAGTTATTAAAATTTATAATTTCAAATATTACACAAACACTTATCATTTTAACTACTATGCAAATACTTATTGATTCATTATCTCAATAAATAAATAAATAAAAATTTCAAAAATAATATTCATTTTAAAATAAATTCTTATTTTTGGTTTTATTACTTAAAAAATTACATTTTTTAACAAAAAATGAAACAAATGTGTTTTTTATGTTTTTTTATGATAATTTTGATAAGTAAAAATTTTTTCAAAATGAATATATTTTTGGAAATTTATGTTTAACTTCGCTTCATATGAGTACCAGGTTGACATATTTTTCAAAACTTTTTTTTTGAAAATATTAGGGACTCATTAAATATTCGAGGGTCTTCTGTGAAACACAACGTCTTGGTTGGATGTACATTTTCGTCATTAATATAATAAATTATTTACAATATATTCATTTTGAGTTAAGATATGACAGGAGCAGGCAGAAGACAAAAGTCTTATCATCCAGCCCCGTTATATCATTTACATATCAAACAAAGAAAAAATTATCCATTATGTAAGAAAATACTTATATATATATATATATATAATATATATATATATATATATATATATATATATATATATATATATATATATATATATATATATATATATATATATATATATATATATATATATATATATATATATATATATATATACACATACACACTAATATATAATATATATATATATATATATATATATATATATATATATATATATATATATATATATATATATATATATATATATATATATATATATATACATATACATATATATATATATATATATATATATATATATATATATATATATATATATATATGTATATATATATATATATATATATATATATATATATATATATATATATATATATATATATATATATATATATAATATATATATATATATATATATATATATATATATATACAATACAATACAAGTATAAAGATAAGTAATGATATGAAGTGTGATGCCACTTTTTAACAAAAAGAAAAGTTAAAGAAATTAAAAATAAGAGAAAACAAAATAAAAATTAAAAATAAAATAGTATTTGAGATACGTCATAATCAAGTAACTGTTTTTTAAAGCGCCTAAGAATTTAACACAGTATGTCCGTTTCAATTTGGTTTTTTTCTATTAAAATATTCGGGAGTTTTAAAGGCAACGTGTCAGATTTAGAGGATTTAGAAAAGAGAGTATATTTGCTTTTATTAGGATTCAGAGAGAGTTTGTTGGCTTTAAACCATTCATTAAGGTTATCAAGTTCACTATTCATAGTGGTAAAGATTGTCTTAATGTTAGAGTGAGTATAAAAAACTTGAGTGTCATCAGCAAAAAGATTAAGGTTTAGTATACAAGATGATAAGTGAATATCGTTGATATAAATAATAAACAACAGAGGCTCTAGAATAGATTCCTTTGGAACTCCGCAGGTAATGTTTTCTAATTTAGTGTAGGTTTTGTCATAAGATACGCACTGTTTGCGATTTTTAAGATAGGAACAAAACCATTTAATATTATTATTTTTGATTCCATATATTTCAAGTTTGTAAAGAAGAATATCATGGCCCACAGTATCAAAGGCCTTAGAGAGGTCAATAAACACTCCAAGAGTATATTGGTTGTCTTAAAACCTATTTAACATTTCTTTAACTAAATTAATTACTGCATATTCTGTCGAGTGTCCTTTTCTGAATCCGTACTAACTATTATTTGAAACTTTGCGAGTTGTGAGATAATTGTAAAGCCTATTATGCATTATTTGCTCTAGAATTTTAGAAAAACATGGGAGTATTGAAATAGGTCTGTAATTAGATAACTTTGAGATATCACCATCCTTAAATATTGGAACTACTCTTGCTTGTTTCAAGAGATCAGGAAAAACGCCATTTTTAAATGAAAGATTAAAAATATTAAGTAAGGGGTTCTCAATAATATCAAAAACTTCTTTAACAATATTTGGGCTTATACCATCAAGGCCTGCGCTTTTGTTTGGTTTTATCATATTAAAAGCAAACCGAAGTTCATCAGGCGATACCTCAAGCTCATCCATTACATAGTCCTTTTTTTTAAGATATGATTAAAATTTTTTTTTTTCCTGGTGTTATTTTGTTTGCTAGGTTTTTACCCACGTTTATAAAAAAGTTATGTTTGCAATATCTTTTTTCTCATTAGTTATTGTTCTTTCATCAGTTATTGTTCTTTCGTGGTAAATAATTAGCGCGAGTTTTCTTTTCTTTTCCCCTCACTTCCTTTATGATATCCTAAGTTTTTTTGTTATTTCTAATATTATTTTGTAATAAAGTTGAGAAATAATTTTTTTCAGCTTTTTTTTTCAAGTTTTCAAACAGGTTTTTGTAAGTTTTATATTTTTTTTCGTTTTGATAAGTTTTTTTTTTTTTTAATTTTTCATAGAGTTTTTGTTTTTTCTTAGAAGATTTAATAAGTCCTTTTGTAATCCATGGACTTTGTAGGCTTTTAAGCTTGGTTTTAGTTTGCTTCATCGGAAACGCTTTGTCGTAAGCATTAAGAAACTCGTTGTAAGAAAATGCATAAGCTTTATTTGTATCTTTACAATTATGTAGTTGTTTCCAGTTTACTTTGAGTAAATAATTAGTAAAGTTCTTAATATTAAATTCAGTAATCTCCCTACCGGCACATCTAGTTTCTTTTTCGGAAATAAAACCTATATAGGCACGTGTTTTTCACGATCCAGGCGTAAACCAAAAGCACGTGTATATTACGGGCAGGTTTACTAGAGTTTAACACGTGTTTTTTGAGGTTTTAAAGTCTGTTTTTATCAGTGGTTTCACATTCCTTACGGAAAGTTATTACAATATAATACTACGTTTTCATAACGGTGAAACCATTAATAATTTAACTGGTATTTATCGTAACTAGCAGTAAGCAACCCGTAATACGCGTTGTTAGTAAGTACAATAAAAAAAAAAACCGCGTATAGAAAAGCCGAGAAACTACTTTACTTTAAAATAGAATAGGTACTTTAAAATAGAAAAGCCTAGAAAATGACGTAACTCGACTAATAATAATAATAATAATAATATTAAATTAGCGTATTCATATTATCAGAAAAGTAATAGTTAATTTAACGGAATAAGAACCATTTTTGATACGTGTTATTCTTTTTGTCTTAAAAGGTTTTAAAAGCGCAACAGAAACCAAGCGTAACTATTTTCTGAGTTGTGCCGGCTGGGCTGCCTTTTTTATTTCCGTTAGTACTTTGCTTTTCTTTTGTATAAAAATCAGATACAAAAAAAATTGGAAAGTGGTCGCTTATATCGCTTTTTATGATTCCGCTTTAAATGTTGCATGTTGTGAAAATATTGGTAAAAATAATATCAATGAGAGATTTAGTTAGAAGAGTTGCACGAGTAGGCTTTTTTATTAAGGAAAGAATGTTGCTGTGAAAAAGAGAGTTTAAGAAATGTTTTACATCGTTATCAGTTTTAACATTAAGACGACTTAAGTTAAAGTCCCCCGTGACGGGGGACTTTAACTTAAGTCGATTAAATCGATAACGATTGTGACGCATTTATGAGGTTAGAAACTTCCTCAATATCAAAAAAAGTCTGAGTTCATTATGACGTCCTCAAAATGTTTATATCTAGATCAATGTCAACATTCAAAAGAATTGTGTTTTGTTTATTAAAAATTTCAAAAAAATTTGCTGCATTTAATTTGTTAGCCATTGTTATTATTAAAATATGCAAAATTAAGATTAAAACTGTTTTCTAGCAGTATCATTTTATTTTATTGTAAACCTTTTTTTTTAATAATAAATTTGTCATACCTGACAATAAAGTTTTCTCCTTTTGATTTTTTTTCTTTCGCTTCAGTAAATAACTTCTTAAGTCTCTTGCGAGAAATCTTCATTTACGTAGATGCTTAGTCCTTTAAGTTTTTTTGTTTCTTTTAGGATGTTTGATTTGTCTTTGAATCTCAATAATTTTAATACAATGGTTCGAGATTGAGCTACTTTTTTAGTGTCTACTCGATGCGCCCTTTCAATTTCAACACCTTTAACTTCTAATTTATTGCATAATAATATTTTAAATATTTATATTCAAATTAATATTCAAGAAGAATATTTATATTCAAATTAATATTCAAGAAGGTTTTTAAGATTAGTACTATTTTATTTCTGTTGAAAAGTTTTTAAATCTTGTGAATAATAAATATTTTATTTTAGTGCCATGGTGTAATTGTTAGTATTAAAATTATACTTTCCAATAACTTTTAATTTTTAAACATTTTAACTTATAATTTTCAAACTTGAAACGCCTAAAATTTAAACGATATAATTTAGAAAGTATTTAAAGTTAAAAAATTAAAGAGCGCTATAGAAAGTGAAACAATTCAACTATAGAAACCTATACTTTTGCGAATAAATTAAAATTTACAAAACCAATTTAAAATAAATTTTTTTTTTAAATACTTCAAATATATGGGTACATATTCAATTTAACACTAATAATTTTTTTTTTTTTTTTTCATATCTAGCTAATTTTTGTAGCTGTTCCAAATTTTTGTTTTTGTTATTCATACTGTAAGAATTTAATATCTTACTTAACAAAAATAGACGAACGAATAGAAAGTTTTAAAGTAAAATGACATGAAAGCTAACTGCAAACAAAGTACATCAATGGAATATATGATTAAGAAAAGTTTTTTTCTAAATTTGTTTATATACTTTTCTTTGTGTTTCATTTTTATCTCTTATCATGAATGCAAGTTTTCATCCTTCATAAATTCAAATGATGTAAAAGCAAATGTAACTTTTGTATCTATGAGTAGAATTGCTGAAGCACGCTTAGTATCCGATTTTATACTACTAAATATAAGTGTTTCACATCAATCGCAGTGTATGAATAAATGCACTAAAACTACAAACTGTACTTCGTATAATATTTTTAAAGAAAGTCAAAATATGTTTCAATGTCAATTATTATCAGATAACAAATATTCAAATTCAAATCAGTTGGAAAAAATAGTTGGATGGTCTCATGTCAGTATACAGGTTTGAGATATTTTCAATGCATTAACTGTTTTATATTTATATTATACCCATTTAATACTAAATGGTGTCCTTAGAGTATTCCGTGTGATAGATCACCTTGCAAAAACAACGGTACCTGCAAACCTGACTATACTGAAAACAGCTTTTTTTGCATTTGTTCAGCAAAATATCTTGGGGAATTTTGTAAGACTTTCTTTACATTATATACTTTTTGTTATACTTTTTATATAAAGGAAAACCAATACATAATCAGGTGCTTTCTTAGAAAGTAAGCTTTTTTTTTAAGTAAAGTTTTTAATAAAACAAATAAATAAATAAAAATTCTAATAGTTTTAAAGAAAATAAAAGAATAAATTATAGTATGAAAAGAAATCTAATAAAATATTTGGAACTCCGGGTTCCAGTATTCTGGAAATTTTTGAAATAACTTCTGAACATAACTTGGGGATTTTATGGAAATAATTTCTATGCTTAGATAAGTTTTTCTAAATCGATTTATTAATATTATTTTATAAGATGACTTAAAAATATAATTTCGCTGTAAACTTTTATAAACTATTTAAAGTATATAAGTAAAAATCTTTTTTGGATTTATTAGTTCTTTTTAAAAAAAGTATTTAAATAGGCTTAAAAACTTTAAAGTATAAAGTACTAAAAACTTTTTAAAGTATATAAGTAAAAATCTTTTTTGAATTTATTAGTTCTTTTTAAAAAAAGTATTTAAATAGGCTTAAAAAATGGCTGAATTACTTATCCATCTATAGAAACAAGTTCAGTAGCTTAATATAGGTGAAACAGCGTTTATTTTTTAGAGTCCATTATTTACTTGTAATAAATATTTTTAACAACTACGTAACACGTTTTGAAGAAGTTTTTTTTTTTATTATACAAGAATGGGTGTGAGAGATGTTAAATGCTGTTTAACTATTTTTAGAACTAATTTAGAATACCTTACTTTTCAATATTTTCATTGATATCATTTAAAATTATATCTGAGCGTTTTTGTTGCATGCAAAATGAACTTCTTTTAATTAGTACAAATGTTATTCATAATCTGGATAAAATGATTATCCCAAGTACTAAAGAAAATCAAAAGGTTTATGTGGAATTTATTTTGAGAGATATCTACTCATAATGAAGATTAACTTCTTATAATAGCTTTAATCAAATTGCTTCAAAACCTTCAAGTTGTTCGGTACTAACATTATAAAGTTAAATAATGTTATAAGTATTACATACTCACTTTAACGTGTTAAATAATTACAACTAATTATAAACTACTTGCAACAAAAAGAAAAATCAAAGTATCAAAGAGAAGTTTTAAACATTTTTTTTGAAAAACAAAACAGCTTTAAACAAAAAAGTTTGCAAAAATTATAAATATTTATCGATTGATACAATTTCAGTTTTTATTTCCTTTTACTTTTCTTTTTTTTTTAAATAAATATTTCTTTAATATAATTAATATTGATTTCTTATAATATGTTTAAAAAGTAATTCTTATGTAATTATAATTAATATGTTTAATAAATATTCTTTTAAATATGTTTAATCAAAAATTCTTTTATATTTTAAGGTGAAACAGAGATGAACAAAATAGTGAGTAAATTTACTAAAATGTAATTATTTATATAAGCAAACTTTGCGTTTCAAAATTTAGAAAATAAGTCTGGTATTTAGTTATAAACTGTATAATATTCAAAAACTCAAAAATTAGCTTATTGTTTAAGATAGAAGGGTTTGGAGATTTTTGGGCACTGCCGATCAATAATATTTTACTTGTAAATACTTAAAACAGTTTTTTGGTAATATTACACGGTTAGTACGGATCCTGATAATGCTAACCTTGCTCACCCAAGAACGCCACTTTTATGGGATGATGCAAATTTTGAACTATTTTAATTTTGTCCAAATTTTGAACTATTTAAATTTTGTCCAATTTTTTTTAAAGTGTTTTATAGCTACAACTACCATTTTTATTTTATAGACCAAAATATTGATTTGCTGTTTAAAGCGTGGTTAGACGTGGCTTATGCAATGCGTAAAGATATCAGCTTTTTCTAACGTGTAAACTACTATCAAAATGCATGAAAATATTAAAAATGGTTGAAAAGCATTTATAAAGATGGCTACAAAAATAATATAATAATAAAAAATTTAGATAAGATAAGTAAAACAATTGACAAATAAAAAATTTAAGTCAAAGGAAAATCTTATAAAAGAATAGTTTTTTAAAGAGCAATAAAAATCTTTTGTAGATTGCCGTGGCGCAGTGGTAGCGCACTTGCTTCAGAAACGTAAGATCCGTGGTTCAAACCCCACCTTTGCGCAAGTTTTGCGACATCGGTTGGGAAGGAGGCGTGAACTTCCTATTAAATGCTCTTCCGCGGTGCTCTGTGATAAGACCGTAAGGACTTCTTGGGGCACCATAATCAACTTAAAAAAAAAAAAAAAAAAAAAAAAAAAAATATTTCATCAAATAAAATCTCATCTAAATTGTCAATAAATATGACAAGTGTCATTAGTTTACATAACTGAACCTGTCATTTCGAAAAGGGCACAAGTCCATTTCATAAAATTTCTCAAAACCAATAAAAAACATGATTTTTAATAAAATAATGTCTTCGCGGCTAATGAAATTACATATAAAAGTAGATAAATAAAGAACGTATATAACTTATGCAAATTTTATGTTTTACAAAAAAACATAAATAATACAGAAATTTTAAATTTAAATTTATAAATTAACTGTTAAATGTTATGGACTTGTGTCCTTTTCGAAATGACAGGTTCAATTATTTCCTCTAGGTGAAGGAATTGTGTATGAATTATTTCCTTCTAATTCAACTAATTATTTGCTTAATTTTAATTTTTTTTCATTTACATTTGTTGGTATTACAGTTATATATTGCCTAAAATAAAAATAATAAGTTTTCACAAATTTTTGATGAACGATATAACTAGTATAAAACAAAGCATTTGAAAGAAGATCAAAGGATCTTGTCGTCAGAACCTTAAATAAGTTCAAACGAGCATTTAACAAAGGTAACAATAATAATATTAAACTTCAACAAATTTCCAAAGTAAATTCCCAGCCAGCAAGTCATATTGGCCCAACATGGGGCCCAAGTGGGCAGCTTTATGGGGTCCAAATGGGTTGCCCACATCCCGCGCAAGGAAAGTTGTCGCTTTGCGTGAATTGGGGCCCAAGCGGGCAGCCCATATGGGCTGCAGAAGTGGCACCCACATGGGTCCCACTTTTTTATTTATTTAAATTTTTTATAATATTTTGAATAATTATTTATTTATTTTTAAATTAGATACATATAGTTTAATATGTAGTCATAAAGATGTCACGCTTTATGACTACATATCATAAAAATGTCACGCTTTATTATTTTTTTGAGTCCAGCTTTATAGAAGTAAAACAGGAAATCAAACATAGAAAAAGAGTTAATTTGAATTTAGTTTAAAATTTGAGAAAAGCTTTGAGACGTTATTACATTTGAGAAACGTAAAGGGGTTTTCATAAAGTAAGTTCGCTATTGTGATTTATACTCTTTCAGCTATTTGCCTAGCGGAGGATATCTAATATCATCGCGCGCACGTTCCGTTGGAATTTAAATTTAGAAAATAAGATAGAATTCAACGCTTTTTTAACTTCATATATGGGCCCTAAATGGGCCTCATATAAGCTAGCCTTTAAATAAAAAATTTTATCTTTTTTAACTACATATTTGGCCCCAAAATGGGCTCCATGTGGGCGCATACATAAAGCCCACATAGAGCCTACTTGGGCAAACCCATATGGGCCCCAATAGGACATATTTGCTGGGTAGTATATAATCAAAAGAGAGATCACGCGGATCTACTTACTAAATTTAATAAAATGTTTAGTAAAAGATATAAAAATTAACAAAATAAGAAAGAATATACTTTTTATAAATGTATATAAGTAAAAGGAAATGGTTTATATTTAATAATATTTCGTCGGTATAAAAGGGAAAGTCCGAAAACATCATTTTGAGATAATGAACAAATAAGTTTATGTGTAATAGTTGAAATAAAAAATCTTAATAATTGATTTATTAAATTTGTGTATTCTATCAAACGATAGAGAAATAATTGATCGTTATTTTGAATGCATTGCCAACCAATTTCAACAGACTGGTATAACTACGGGATCGCTTATTTATAATTGTAGTGAAACAGGTTCTTCAATTGATCAAAGCAAAGCAACCGTAATTTGTCGAAAAGTTACAAGACGCGCATTTAAACATACAATGAAAAAATTCATTACACTGTGAACTTATTACAATTGCTGCAACGCTGAATGGCATTTTGCACCTCCATTTGTAATATACAAAGCTAAAAGAAACTTTTTTCCTTACTTGGCAAGAGGTGGTCCATTTGGCACCAAATATTCGATTTCAAAATCAGGTTGGATGAAGTACGATACGTTTATTAAATGACTTAAAAAAGAATTTATCGCCAAAACTTAGCACATTTGTGGTATTCATATTTTAGTATTAGATGGGCATACAAGTCACATAACTTTAGAAGCGGTATAGCTATGCAAAAAATACAATATTGTTTTGATTTATCTACAAGAGCATACTTTACATTTTCTACAATCATTGTATAGAGGTGTCTAAGGGCATGTCAAACAAGCGTGGAAAAAAATTCTAACCAAGTATTACAAAGACTCGAAATGTAAGAACTTAGATCAATAAAATTTTCTTGCTCAATCTGCTGTACGAGAGTGGTAAATGTTTTACACGCTTGAATGCAATCTCTAGTGTCAAGTACACTGGCATATTTTCACTAAATAAAAACAATACAATTCATAAGGCATTAGCAACCACACAAAAATTTAATTCATTATTATCAACGTTAGCAACCTCCGCAGCATATACACTATCTTGCTTAGACACAGCTTCATCATCTTCAACAGCTGCCGCAGAACCTACTCCGACTATACACTAAAACCATCTTTCTCAACTACACCAGCTTCGAATTTTATAGGTATCAAGCGTGTGTTGAGCGTTGAAAAACAGTATCGAGATAGAGTCGAAGCAATTTTTTCAAGGCAGAAATAAATTGCATTTTAAAAAATTGAGGCAATGCAAACATGTATTTGCGAAGGAAATGTGATAGAGTTCCTCAAACAAGATGAAGAAAAAGCAACAAAGGAAGCCGTAAAAGTTGCTAAACTTAACGCAAAGTGTAGACTCTTTATGCCAATTACTCAAATGCCTGACAAAAAAAAAAAAAAAAAAATTAATTTATCAGCATAAGAAAGCTAAGCAACCAGAGCAAAACAATAATGAAGAACAAGTACCAGCAGCCAAATAAATAAAAGTTGCAAAATGTAAAAGTGTAGAGTACAAATACACACAGATGGTTGTACAAAGAAACATGTTGACCAAAAAAAATATATAGTTGTTAGAATTTTTTTGTTGCAAAAGATGAAAAAAATTTAATATTGTAATAATAAAAAATTAACAATAAAAAAAGTTAAAATTTATAAAAATTCAATATTTTCTCAAAAGTGCAGTTTTATCAGAATGTCGCACATTTTTTTCTTACATTTAATATTATTGATATTTTTATTATTTTTTTAAATACATATTTATATTTTTTATGTAGTTTTTTTTATTACCTATCTAATTAAAACAAACAAACAAAAAATTATTAAATTTTTATTGATTAGCGTGCGGTTTGACCCGGTTTTACTTAAAAATGATTAAGAAAAGTTGAATCTAGTGAATTGCCATAATGTCAAATCAAGCAAAAGTTTGCGATGAAAATCGAAACTTTGTGTGCTTTAACTGTCTGAAAAAATGTTTAAGACCGCTTACTGCTTTCCAAGCTGATCAAATATGCCAACTGTATGAGACAAAGTTCAATATCATTGATTCTCGGGTACCATAAGGACTCTGCAAATTGTGTAGAACAATTATGCAAAGTAAACAAAAGTGGGAAGAAGTTATACCTCCTTTGTTTAGTTTGAGTTCAATAAAAGTTATAAGGAAACAAGAGGCATGATTTGTTTTGACTATATCCAATGATTTATCAAGTTTTGTGAATCATGTTATTCGCAAAGTTTCTGATATTTTTTTAAGGTCGGAAAAGATGATAATTAAGGTTTTTTCAAGTTTTTGTCTAAGCATTGTTGATACTGCGTTTATGGTTGATATCAGCTCAACGCCTCAAAATAAAGTCACAATCAAAGGACTGGTAAAGACACTGCAAGTTAGCTGCGCTCCACATTCAACTGAGCCCATATTATGGGCGCTAGTTCGAGGAAAATAAATTCAGGAAGCTTCCTAAAAATGTGCTGTAGCAATTTGCTGATATGTTTTTGGTTCCCAGCATTCTCTACATAATTAAAGTATTTAAAAAGTTTCAATGTAGTTGCAAAAGCCTATTATGGTTTAGCTTTTAGCCGGATTATGTTGAATTTAATTGAAAATTTCAAAAGGCGTTACGTAATGGTTACTGGCGCAAGCGTGATACCCAAAATTCACATTGTCTTCTAACACATCAAAGATTGGCGGGTTTAGTAAACAAACTGTTGAAACTGCTCATCAAGATAT